CTCCCAAATTCCTGTGGTGCCCAGACCTGATTTATAAGCCCCTGGGAAGCCAAAGGGATGAGCACTCAGCCCTCGCAGCACTCCGTGGTTACACAAGTTGAGGAGCTGCACGTGGAGAGGAGGGAGCCCCTGCTTTTCCCAGGCAAGTCGGAGCAGAAATGACCTCACTGAAATCCAGAGCCAGAGCTCCTGGAGACGTTGACCAAAGCAGCCAGAAAGCTGGTCCAAGGTGGAGCACACACTCGTGTTCCCATCATGCAGGCAGGGTTTGGACAGGAATGTTGCAACATCCCGAGGATTTGCTCATGGCTCGGGGCACACAAGGCTCTGGGCCGGTGATTTTTATCGCTCGTTTTTGTGGTAATTCTGTTGTCTGCTCCAGAGGCTACAAGGTTCATAACCTGATGCTGTTACAGATAATATCTCATTTCCAGAAGTCTGGAGAGGTCTGTGATGATGCTCAAAGCACTTGGGACGACTTAGAGCACAGGGAAGGGAAGGTGTCCCTGCCCATGGCAGAGCACTGGAACTGGATGAGCTGTAAGGTCCTTTCCAACCCAAACCATTCCATGATTCTGTGATATAAAGAGTTCCCACTGGTCTGCTCCAAATGCATCCCAAAGGTGACTCGTGACCTGTGCATGTCCCTGCCACTGCTGGTGATGTGCTCTAAGCTCTGAAGGACACAGTGACAAGTGATGCCAACTCATGCAGAAAAACTGGGAGAGCAGGGTAGGATCTGCGAGCTGGACCATTCCAGTGCTTACTGTCCTGGTTTCAAAGGGAAACAGGGAATCACTTCCAAAAGGAGGTGTTGCAAAGAGCTCTTAATACAAAAAAAGCATTATTTTTCTTCCAAGATGTGTCATCCTGCCTGTTTCCGTTGTCTCAGGCACTGTCCCTCACTCAGTGCCCTGCCAGCTCCTTCCCATTCCGGCTCTTTCCTGGCCGACACTTCTCCACAGGCACACGTGGGTAATTGGATTGTGCTGAAAGCACTTTCAGCACACTGAATCCAGGGACAGGCACCCCAAGGCACGGATTGAACAGGACTAAAGCAACAGGTACATTTTGTTCTCCAGCAAACCTTGACTGGAAGCTGATTTTGGGGGCCAGGGTGTTGGCAGAGCTCTCCGTGTGAACACGAGGTGTCCTGCACGGTGGCCCCAGAAGGACCCATCAGTTAAATTATCAAAGAGGCTCAGGCAAGAAGAACTGTCATTTCTTGCTTCCCTGGTCTCTCTTTTGATGTAGGGATTTATCTTTCGTGTTGTGCAGCTTGGATGAAGACCAGGGGAATTTCCAGCACTTATTGCCCCACCTGATTGAGACAGAGCTTTAAGCTGTTCTTGGCAGATGAGCAGGACCGTGCACAGATGGGGAAACTGAGGCACAGCCAGGCACAATCCAGGTTCTCCCTGCCCACACCTCCATCTCCTGTGCCACCATCCCCAGCCTGGGCAAGGGCAGTCCAAGACAGGCAGGCAATTTGCATAGTCAGTAATTATGCCAGGGGAAAAACCCTTATAGGTGTCTGTAAAAAATCCCTCTGAGATATTTCAAGGTCTGGAATCAGGGGGTTGGAGACATTCTTTTATTAAAAATCTCCAACACCCACTTTTCCACAAATCCTGTGCCACTGAACTCTGATATCTAAAAAAGGTCTCCAGCAAACTCAGCACATGCTGAAGGGACACCTTTATTTCATGGCTTTTGCACAATAGGTGAAATATTAGCAACTCCTTTAAAACATGATTAAAAAAAACCCTTCCAGGCAAAACTTCCATTGCCTCAATATTTAGGGAACAATTTTGTTATTGGGTGCCTTTTGCTGCAAGGAAGTTTGTCAACATCAATTCCCCTTTTATCCAATTTTCCTCATACCTGTATCTTGTTCTCACTGGATTAATTTCTCTGCCCTGGAGGATCCCTTTATTAGTTCCATCCACGATTCCTTGTCAGCTCCTTGCTTTGATTTAGATGTGCACCCTTGAGGCTGTTCCCAGCCCATGTTACACCCCTTAGTGGCTTCTTCCCAACCCAAACATACTCAGTGCCTTTCATCTTCCACACAAATCTTCAAATAAACAACAGTTTTATGGCTTTTTGCTGGGTTGCCTCCAGTTCTCAGGGCCATTTCCACCTGCTGCTCCGAGGGCTCTCCCTTCCTTGGTGGCAGCTCCCGTCCTGCTCTCCGTGTCACTCCCTCACAGCTGCTCCTGGGTTTGGGGGGAAAAACGTCATGTTTTGGGTTTGAGGGTGGAAGACTGTCAGTCTGGCTGCCTGTGTGTCTTCCAGAGGGCTGTTTTCTCTCTCCCATCACCTCCAGCCATCAGGACAAAGCCCGGCAGCCACAAGGCCGGAGCTGAGGACGTGTCTGGACAGCACTGGGTCACATTTGGCTCTCATGCCACGAGTCCTTCCTGGGCAAATCCCACCACGAGGATTCCTCTGCCACCCTTGGCACCACTGAAGAATCAATGTTCATTCTCTGGGATGAGTTTGCCCAGAGAAGGTGTAGCTGCACCATCCCTCGAAGTGTTCCAGGCCAGGCTGGATGGGGCTTGGAGCAATGTGGTCTAGTCGGAACTAGACGAGCTTTAAGGTCACTTCCAACCCCAAGCATTCCATGATTCCATGATTCTGTGCAGACACAGCTGCCACAGTGGCACCAAGGAAAGGTCAATTGTGGGGCAGCCATGGCCAAAGGACCACGTCTCCAGCAGCCAACAACAGTGACCTTCAGGGAAAGCTCATATGAAACATGAGGTCTGATCCCTGCCCAGGTTTTCCCTGGACTCACAGACTGTTCCTTGAGGCTGCACCAGGACTCCTGCAGTCAATAACAAACCCTTTTATCTGGGCTTTTTGAACTTCAGTGCTCACATAAAAGTGGTCTCAGCAACATCCCCTGACACCGAGCGCATGATTAACGAGGCTGGGAGCAAACAACACTTCCTGCCTTTGTCTGGCTGTCCGAGGCCTCTCCTGCTTCCCACCCACAGCCCAGGCCTGGAGGGGTGGCTGGACCAGCCCAGTGCTCAGGCAGGAGCATGGAGCAGCATTACTGGGAATTTTCTTTTTCATTCTCACTCCCTTTTTGTTTCATGCTGACAATACCCATTCCCCAGCCTTTGCCACCGTGCCTGTCTCCTTTTCCAGATCCTGTGTGCTGGACTGGCCTGAGCGGAGAAGATCCACAGGCAAAGCTCTGCAGACACCTCCCTCCATTAGAGATACCTGTTCCCTCTCTCCCAAACAATTTTTTCCAATATAATTCCCCTTTTCAAACCCCATGGGAAGCTCAGTGAGTCCTGAGCCTGCTGAAAATCCAAGGATGGAGATAGTGGCAGCTCAGTGGTCTGCTGAGGATGGACCTCCCTGTAGGAAAGCTATGTGTTCTCCCCCCAGGATGCTCCTCCCCATGTCTCTGCTCACTGTATTCCCCACTACAACCTGTTGGAAGCCCTCTGGCTGCTCCTGGAGTACCAGCACATTGTTTTCCACCTTCCACCCCCAAGGGCATCGCAGTGTTGGGCAGTGGCTGCACACACCTGCTGGAAGCTCCAGATGTGCTCTGGAAGGCCTCAGGATCCTACAGCTGGAGCTTTGCTCCCAACCACCACGCTTCCTCTGGCAGCTTGCTCCCTGGGAAGCAATGCTCCAGCACAGGAACTTTTCCAAGCGAGCCCGTAGCAAACATGGATGTGAAAAACTCGTTTCATCTCTGTGCTACTGCCTTATCTGCCTGGTAAAGTGCTTTTCCCTCCATGGCCCTGCCAGGCATCCCGAGGTGTCCCGGCCCTGCTCCTCCATGTGCCATCCAGTGTCCCACTGCTGAGTGTCCTGCTGACTTGTCTTACTGAGGTTTTATATTTAATTTGCCAGAGTTTATTCTCTCCCCTGGTTTCCTTCTTTGGCCACAACTGTCACTTTTGGAATGGTATCTTTTAAATCACTGATGGCACAGGCTATTCCACCCTGGCTTAGGGAGATGCTTTTCTTAGATTACTCTAATTCCTTCACTAAGAGCCTCTAATCCCATCTGGGAGAGCCCCTGGAAGGGCCTCTGGGAGAGCCCTGTCACACACAGGGTTCTTGTAACTCCATTCTCATTTCCTCATCTCCACCTTCCTCCTTTTATAAATAAGTATTTAGTTAAAGGCTACTGCGGTCCCAGGGTTTGGTTTTATGAGGTGGTTGGGCTTAAGCAGATTCTCTCTTCCAGTGTTACTTCCCAAAACAGCCACAACACTTGGGAGTAAATCAAGAATTGCCTTTTTCTCATGAATTCTCTCCTTGTTCAAGACATTGGTTGACTGTGACACCTAAATTCAGCATGAAATTTGTGTGTAACATTTACTCAGCTCATTTGAGCATCACTGGCTTTACTCCTGTTTTTTCTCCTCGGCCTTTCTAAGCTCCATTAGCATTCCCTGCCCATTTCTTCCCCATGGGATGTGTGTGTGCCAACAGAACATCCTGGGCACCACCCTCTCCTTCAGGAAAGAAAAACTCTGAGCTCTGCCACGTGCACACCCAAAATCAGCTCTTCCACCAACCCACCTCTGTGAGCCTGAGCATCCCTGCCCTGGCCCTTTCCCACTGGAATATCCTCCTCTTCAGGGTGGAGGGACATGGGAAGGAGGGATTGCAGCAGAAGATCACTTTCCTCTTATGAAGCTTGATACTTGCCTGCTGTTGGACATTAATTCTGCTACAGCATATAAAAAAGCCTGGAGATCCCAAAGACCTGGGACCTCCATCCTCTGCTCCTACCCAATGCCCAAAGCCTCATCCCCTTTCCCACTCCCTTGGTTTTAACACAGGCAAAACCAGAGAAGTTATCTAGGATTCCCAAAAGGAGGACAGTGATGGAGGCCTGGATGCTGCCATGCTCCCAAATCCATCTGCAAGAGGAACATCTGAAAACCCAGGGCTCTGGGATGTGGGATAAACGAGGCAATCTCACGTAAAAGAAAAGTTTTAGAGGCAAAGACCAGCAACAAGAGAGTTGTAATTCAGCTTTCTTTGTTAAAAAAACAAAACAAAACAACCCAAAACATAGAACAACCCAAACATTCAACAGATTTGTTAAACCACAGACATAAAAGAATCAAGAAATACTACAAAAAATACATTGCAAGAGACATCTTGTTTTACAAGGCCATTGGATTCAGGAACTACTGGCTGACCAGTGGAATAGCTGTGTTGCCAGGAACACAAACATTGGGAATAAACAGCGCTTACTGGAGAAGTATTAAGACTAAAAGATATTTACCCCTTAAAATAAATAGAATTGTCATCTACAGCAACATTTAAATTAGTAAAATAATTTTTTTTTAAAGCAACCAAATATAACAAAATCGTCAATCAGATCTAGGTTTTCTTGTGTGTGTGTTAGGCTCTCGAGTGTTTGTGTGTGTGTTTAAAAACAAAAAAAAAAACCAACAACAAAAGTACAAAGAAAAATATCTCTGAAAAGTCAGATTCTGCACCAGGAGTGAATGTCACCCTTTGTTCTGTGGGTCAGGGCGAGGTCTGGGAGCCACTCTGAATCCTCCCTTTGGAAGGGTTTAGGTGGGACACAGATCTCTCCCTGTCCCCTGAACAAGTAAGGATGTTTTTCCCTGCGTGTGACGTCAATCCCAGCACAGGAGCTGCAGCCCCACGTCCTGCTGGATGTGGGAGATCCCCTGGGCTGAGCTGGACGTCACCCCAAGGGAATAACTCAGGTGTAGCTATAAAGTCTCTTTTAGGCAGTTTAGAAATTAATTCAGTGTTTAAAAAAATACTTTTATTTCTCTCATTAACACTTCAACAGCTGGAGGAAGCAACACCCCTTCTCATGTGAGGGACGGGGAGGGGGCAAAGCAAAGAGATAATCCTCTGGATTTTGGATCCTTAGGGATGGCCGACCCCGAGCCACGTTTCCTACCACCACATCTCGTGTATCATCTGCACCAAACAGGGAGCTCCCAGTGCCACCAAGCCCAGCATCATCACACACACCCCCCACCCAGCTCCCAGTTCCAGTTTGGAGCATGAAAACTGGGAAGAAATTCCTCAAGTTCAGGCAAACCCAGCATAATTCCGGAATACCTCAAGAAGCCACCCGAACTGGAACCACCCTCCCCGAGCATCCCTCAGTGCTGAGGTCTCCTGGGATGCCCTGGCATGGAGGAGGGAGCAGATTCCCATCACTGCAGGGATCTCCCTGGTCGGCAGCCAAGCCCTGGCTCGGGCTGTGCCGGTCCATCCCGCAGCCAGAGACGCTCCAGGGCCGGCACAAGGCGACCATTCAGCATGTGGGCTGTGCCGGGGTCGTGGCACAGACCTCGTGGCACAGCCCCGGCACCAGCCCCGGGGGAACCTGAGCCATCTGCCCACTGGGCTGCCCTTTCCCAAGCTCCGGGAGGGAGCTTCATTCCAGCCCTTTCCCAATCACCCTCCCTCCCCTTGGATTCGTTAGCAATGGAGTTGCACAACGGGGGGATGGAAAAGCTGCCATCCCACAGGAACACCCCGACCAGCCAGAGTGTTGTGTAATGACAACATTTGGCAGTTTCCTCATTAATTTTTTTTTTTTTAATTTTTATTTTATATTAAAGCCCAAGGACACTGTCGCCTTGGCTGAAGGCACGGGTACCTTCCCAGACTGACTGGAAACATTCCCTGGGATTCCCCACAGCCAGACTGGGACTCTGCCACTCTGAACATCTCTCCATGGCTGGGAAGTCACAGCTACAGGGAAAAGCTCTGTTCCAACACCGCTTCTCCTCGAGGGCTCCGCTCCCACTCAGAACCACCACGGAGGAACCCCTGGAGGAGCCCAATGCCTGAGCCACCCACTAGGACAGGCCTTGGAGGACAACAAAGCCACTCCTCAGGAGTTTCAATCCAGTTGAAGGGTCTTTAAAGTTTGTTCAACTGTGCCAGAGTCCCTTTGAACTCTGGAGCCATAGAGGGAGCTGCTGAAAACAAAAGCCTTGTTTACCAGAACGTGGTATCTGAGGTGGAAAACACTGCAAATTCTGCAGGATGCTGGGAAAAAAAAAGAATCATAAAAAAATCCACCCAGGCTGACATAAATCCCCCAGATTTTTGGCTGGGAGCATTCTGCAGGGCTGAGCAGGGCTGGGTCCCCTCCTGGTCGGAAGCAGGTTTCTCATTCTGAAAGAGGAACCCAACGGGCACGGAAGTGCCTGGCCATCAGCTCCAGCTCTGTTTAGCAATCCCTGCAGGATGCTATTCTGTGAACACCCAAAACAACTGCCTGCCTGGGAGGCTAAATCCTTAAAAACAAGTTAAGGGCAATAATTGAAGCGGGGGGTTGGTACAAGGACCACAGGGTCACTGCAGAGCAGCCACGGCCCCACGGTCAGACTCAATGATCTTAAAGGTCTTTTCCAACCTGAATGATTCCCTGATTCCATGGACACAATGGCTCCAGCTGTACTTGCAGGACACTCATATGAAATAGGTTCACGTGGAACCTCGTTCAGGTCCCTGTGGTTGCAGTGCCCTTTGTGGGAAGGGTTTATCTCCCTCGGTGTGTCGCAGCCGTGACCAATCACGAGCTCCAAAGAGAAACCAACAGAGAAACAACACAAAAATCCCACATCCAGTGCTGGGAAGGACAAGGAATTTTCTGTGAAGTCTCTGTTGCTCCCCTCGCCCTCCCTGACACATCCCATTCCACATTTGAGGAAAACAAGCAGCAAGAAGGTCTTTCACAAGGATGAGTTTTCCCCTTTCCATACCAAAATCCAGCTGACCAGGGCAAATCAAGGGCAGCAGATGCCACTGATGCTGATCTAAGGGACAGGATGTCACTCCGGACAGCAGATGCTGTTGGAAGCAGTTTCTCCCATTGGAGAATCTACTTTATTGTGTTTTCTTTAGCAAAGGAAATTCACTTTTACCCCTTCGCTCATTTATCTCCCAAACCTCCAGGGAAAAATAACCCAACCTCTTCCAGCCATGTCACCAAGCTCTGGTGGAGGGGAACTGTGGGGGTCAATGAATCCAGAAAGAAAGAAATCAGGTATTTTAAACTTTGAGATGTGACCTGTGGCTGGGCAAATTCAACATTTTTTTGTCATTTTGTGCTGGTACCTGGTTCGGTTTTTCCTAAACCTCTATTGCCAAGGAGATGCTGGCAAGATCACTGTGAGCATATGGATCAGTGCCAGAGCTGCAGGTTAGTACATGAGAAAGATCTTCAGCAGCAAGGGAAAAATACTGAAAATTCATAAAAAGCAAAGCAAGCAAGTCAAGGAATCCATTAAGATCAGGTAATCAATAAAAAAATATTTCTTAGTGTGATGTTTCCTCTTTAAAACCAGCATGAAACGGTCACCAGGAGGACATCATGTAGTGATGGTCATCACTGCTCAAAGATGTGTCCAAAGCACCCCCCACCTTTGGGAGGTTTGGACCCATTTCTGAGCTCTGTGGATGGGATCTTGGTGCCAACTGACATTGGGTTGAGGTGGCTGAGAGTTCAAATCCCTTTGCTTTGCATCCCAAGAGACTCTGCTGGGAATTCATCACCAGGAGCCCCTACACTGAATCCAGGCCCTGCAGGAGCTGCCCCGATACCACCACAGATGAAAATGTGCAGAGCAAGTGGGAGATGACAGACTGAGGTTCTCTCTCCATGAAAGTCCAGCAGGAGCAGTGACCTCCCACCACCACCCTGCCGAAACATCTCAGCCTTCAGCTGAAAGAGATGCCAAAAAAGTTCGGGTTTTACGCTTCACCACCTTACTTATGCAAACACCTCCCCACAGGCACCGGATCCGAGATGCTCCAGTTCATTGCACGTAGGTCCCTGCACAGCCAGGCACTGGCCAAAGACTTTGGGTTCTGCCCTGGAGATCCACACAAACCAGCTGCAGGTTTGTCTCTCCAGGAGAGCTCAGCACCTCACGCAGGTGAAGCAGCACCTGAGCTGGTCTGGGGATCTCCACGCTGAGCTGCCATGGAATAAACAAGCTGACAGCCAAGGTTCTCCATGTGCTGATTGTCTCACCTATTCCTGCTGCGCTCGAAGCAAGAGCTGGTTGGCAAAGCGACGGCACAGAGCTCACGTGGACACGGCCACACACCTGGACAGGAGCTGCACCTGCCCTGACACCCCCAGCACTAAAGAGCTTCAAAGGACAAAGTGTGAGCGAGTACCATGGTGTCCTTAATGCCTCTCCATCCCAAATAACCCCATGCTAACGAGGAGAATCCAGCAGAAAGCTCTCGGAGGATCCCAACGGCCGAGTTTATAAAAACACTGAGGAGAAGTAGTTGTTCAACGAGCCACTTGCACAAAGCACGAGCACAAAGATCTGCAACAGAGAGCGAAGCAGCTCAGCTGTGGGGAGATGCTTTTGAATTCCAACTGATACCAGAGAGCAGAGGCACAATGAGCAAAGTGTTCAAGAACTGCAGCTTTGCTGAAAAGGCGAAGCTTTTGACCAAATAAAGCAACGTGTTCCTAAGAGGACAGCTGGATTACTCGGGAACTAGAGGGATTTTGGGTGTGCTCAGGGGATGGGATTGCACCACCCACGACAGCCAAAGAGGATTTCACGTGCGGATCAGGGTTTGTGCTCATGGATCACTCCCAGGATGGGAGAGTGGTGGAAGGATCTCGCCAAGCCAAACCTGATGCGCAGAGCAGGCCCAGGCCCCAGGCCAGGCTCCTCCGAGCAAAACACACCATCTCCCATCGTTACTCCAAGGAGAGGCCCTGGCACAGGCTGTCCAGGGAAGCTGTGGCTGCCTCCTCCCTGGAAATGTCCAAGGCCGGGTTGGACAGGGCTTGGAGCAACCTGGTCTAGTGGAAGGTGTCCCTGCCCATGGCAGGAAGTGGAACAAGATGGGCTTTAAGGTCCCTCCCAACCCAAACCACCCCATGATCTACAGCAGCCCGAGGTGAAAGCCAGGCTCCAGCCTCCTGCCCTTTCTACACCCTAGACATGGTTGGTCCCATCTCTGGCACATTCCAGAAGAGACACAGTGTGACAAAGGCACAGCACCAGGAAACGCACGGACAGACCCCAGGGAACGTGCCAAGGGCACCCCACCCTTTATTTCCCCTTGCAGATGGTTCAGGGCAAACACGGATCACACCAAGGGCAATGAGCAGGGCCATGTGGAGGGAACAGTGTTGCTCATCCCATGCTGGATGAAAGCCTGTCCACAGAAAAGCATGGAATGAGCAAGCCAAGGATTTGGCCTTCTGCTGATTGCAGTTCCCTCGGTTTATCCAGAGGAACTCCACCCTCAGGCCTGCACCTGCACCTGCTCCTTCACAGGGCCATGGGATGGGCATTCTGGTGAAGAGCATCCTGGAGAACTGGCTCAACAGCAGGGGACTGATCTGGGAGTTAAAACCCAGGTGCTGGCAGGGGAGTGCTCTGTCAGGAACACAGTGACAGGCAGGCAGGGCCTCCCCACGTCGTTTCTCTGACACTAATTCTGCTCTGCCTTGTCTCACCTCAGCCACTGCCAGTGGACAGAGCCCAAAGTGTCCAGCAGCACATTTTGGTGTGAGTTAGTGTGTGTGTGAGCCAACACCAGCCAACCTTTGCTTCCCAACCATCCCCCTTGGCCAGGAAAGGCAGGTGGAGCAGGCTCAGGACCCCCCCGGCTCTGTGACAGCCCCAGGCGTGTCTGAACACCCAAACCAGGTTCCTGAGCAGATCCATCCTCATCTGGGACATCCCAGCCCCGAACCAGATGAGCCCACCCAGAACCAAGTACAGCCCTCAGTGTCACACACACAGATGCTGATGGGACAGGAAGGACCCCTTTGGAATTGCCCTCTGGAATTCCTCCTCCTGGTTCGTGTCCGTACCAAGAACTCATCGCAGGGTCGCCCATGTGCCAGGGGAAGGTGGGGCTGGAGGGGCTGGAGGAGACAAGGCAGAGCTGGGATGTGGTGTCAGCAGGAAGCAGCTCCCGCGGGGCTCTGGGGCCTGGGATCTGGGTGTGAGGGAGCAGATTCTTGTGTCGTCCTAAAATAAAATTGTGCGTTTCCTCGAGCTGAATGTCTCTGCTTTTCCTGCCTAGGATTCCTGAGGAACCACTTCCATCAGCTTCTGGCACAGGACTGTCGCAGAGACTGGGGAGGAAAGCAAAAGAAAGATCAGGGATCACACGCAGGGACCCGACATAAAGCTTGGTCTGGGCTCAGGAGAGAAGGGCTGACCCGTTTGCCTTCCAATTTAAGCCTTGAAATAACCCATGGGACACTCCCTACTCGTTCCCAGAATTCCAACATGTAACAGTGGGAGCTCTGCTCTTGCAGCAAGGATGCTCCAGGAGAGGCTCTGGGATTCTGGACACCAGTTTCTACTTGCACAGTGACAGGGTAGCTCATTTTGGATGCCGTTAGGTGTGAGCAGCCAAAACTGAGTCAGGAACGGGTATGGAAAATCCAAGGTGAAGTTTTTACTTCCTATTTTGTAATCTATGTGAGCCCATGGCCTCTTGGAAGGACAAACCCACCTAAACCCACCTGTCCTGCCCACAGGGCAGAGGCCACTGCCTGGCCCAGGGCAGGTGGGAACAAAGGGACCATTTCAGGTGCAGGTTTGCCCAGGAAAAGGTGTTAAACTGAAGGAACTTTATTTTTCCACCCATTAGTGTTGGTGGCCGACATCCAAACACTCCTCTGCTCCCTGCTGCTCTTGTGGTTGGAGATCACAACATACTCCTGCCTGGTAAAACTAAATACAACCAGGTCTGACTCAAATCAGTTGGAGGTGCTCAAATTATCTGCAATGCATCAATAAATACAGGTTTAAATGTCATATGTTTTTAATTGGATGTTTGCAGGATTATCATTCTCTGTTCCCAGAGAATTTGCAGGATTATCAGTCTCTGTTCCCAGAATATTTTCTATATTCTCCTTACAAGCCTTTGGTGGAGAAAAACAATGAATATGGTAATTTGCCACCCAGGCACTGCAAAAATGGCTTTTCCAGGAACTGAGCCTAATACTCGGGATAAAAAGTGAGTGTGGGAGAGGGAAACAGAAACAGGGGAAAAAAAGAGTAAGGAGTGCTGAGCACTGCTCTGAAAGCCTTTTTCTTCCTCATAAAACACCCAGCTAAGGCTGGGCACTTCTCCTTGTCTGCTTTTCTAGGTCAGCCCGTTGTAGGAGAGCTGGGAGGCAGCTGGTGGAGTTCAGTTACTTGGACAACATGGATTGACTTTCTGGATTCAGTTGTTCAGGCAGAGGTTCCATGTGCCAAGCACAGCCTCTCCATCCCTAAACACACTGTGGGGCAGCGTCAGCTGTTGGAAAACCTTAGAGCAGATACCTTAAAAATAAACCTCCTGAGAGAACACATCCAGGGGATTTTCCCCTCCCTCTGCTCTGCTGCCATGGTGTGATGCCAAGGAAAGCTGTGCCCGAATCTGAAACGTTAGCACTGGCTAAACCATGGAATGGGATTAATTGTGAATTTTCAGCAGTCAAATAGAGGCCAACTGAGCTCCATTCCTCTTTTCTCCTTCTTACACCCCTGTAAAGGGATTCTCTCCTGAGCAAAGCCTTGGAGCTGGGCTTTTCCAGGAGGAGGAGCAATGTGCTCAGGGAAGAATGCTCTGATGAGTAACAACCACCTGTTTTCCAAGATAAAAAAACCCCAGCAGATGGTATTTGTCCCAAACTTTGCAATTATTGCAAGTCAGGGTGCATTCTGGGCGCTTGATAGACATGGTAATCATCAGGCTAGAACTGTCATCATTAAAGAATGGATCAGAGCCAAGACTTTGGAACCTCCTCCACAGGAAGGAGAGCCAGCGCTCCCAGCCGTAGGATGTAACTGGGAAACTGTTCTTTTTGGAGCAAGAGCTGCACCCTTGCTCCTCCCTGGGGGGTACTTACAGATGCCTTGGAGAACCCACTTGGGCTTGTTCTGCCACCAGACCCCGAAGAAGTAAAAAGGGATCCCACTGAAGATGATGGCAAAGCCGATGGCACATTCCTTTGGCGTCGTCCAGAAGGAAACAGCAATGAGGAACAGGCAGGCCAGGATGAAGAAAATGGGCAGGCAGATGTTCACCTGAGCAGGGACCAAGGAACAGGTCAGGAGATGTGGCAGGGCAACAGGTCACACTTTCCAGGGAAGTTTATCCAGCTGTACAGCCCAGGGGGGTACAGAGCTCATGTTCCACCATGGCCAGGAGCCAGAAGCCTTTCTCAGCACCCCTCTGGATCCCAATTCCATACTTCCATGATGCCTTATACAAGGCACCTGTACCAAGAGCCCCAGCTTCAGCAGCAGCCACAGCATAAGCCATGTTATCCTCAGGGCTGTTCCTCGGGGGACTCTGAGCAGGGCACCCACTAAGAAACCCAAAACCACTAAGGAAACACCCCACAGAGAGTCACTTTGGGAAGGCACCAGCACAGGCCTGGGGGTTTGTCTCTCTCTGGGTGTTGTTGCCTGGCAGAGACACGACTGTGCTGAGGGATGAGTGGGAAACATGCCCTGAAGGCCATCAGACACACCGGGGTGACACGATCTTGGCCTCCTCCCAGATGGGCCACGGAGCTGCCAAGCTGGCCAAGGACACAGGGAACAAAGCTCCCAGTGCAGGGGCTGTTTCAGCAGAGAACTATTTTAGGTGAATTCCCTGATGGTACAGAGTGTTTCACTGAGAGCCACAGCCTGGGCTCTGCCCTGGGGAGCGGGTCAGTCACGGAGAGCTTCCCGCTGTGTTATCCCACCACAACATCCCATGTCCCTGGCACCCAGAGCTCCTTCACTCTGTTGTCCCCGCAGCCATGGCAGCTCTTCATCCTCCTGCACCAACTCCCATTCAGCAGCAGCAACATCTCCATTAGCTACAACCCCACCTCTCCCTGCAATCCCAGTCCCTCTCCCACCCAGGAGCAGCAGCTGAACCTTCCCTGGTGCTGAGAGGGAGCACTCGGGGAGGACCCACCTCCCATCTCCCACCCTTCTCACCTTGATGGGCCTCTCCAGCTCCGGCTTCTTATAACGCAGCCACATCATCCCGATGATGGCCAGAGCCACACACAGCCAGTTGAAGAAGCTGAAGAAGTTGATGACTGAGAAGATGTCGTTGGAGAAGGCATAGAGCAGGGTCATGACACACTGAGGAGGGAAAAAGCCATTAGCAAAGGGAGGAGGCAAAACCACCTATAGTACAACACTAAACACGGGGATTTTAGAAGAACTGCCTGCCAGGAAAAGGATCCTGTTCATCAATTTTTACTTCTTTAAGCTATTTTTCAGTTGGTGCCTGGAATGATTGCATAGAATCACGGAATGCTTTGGGCTGGAAGGACCTTGAAGCTCATCTTGTCCCACTTCCTGCCATAGGCAGGGACACCTTCCACTAGATCAGGTTGTTCCAAGACCCCGTCCAACCTGGCCTTGAACACGTCTGGCACAGGCTGGGGGAGAATTCAAACCAGAAGTGGACTATGAGGATATGACGAGAAGGGTCACTCTCCTGTAGGTGAATGCAGGAATGGCTGTGACTGGAGGTGGCAGCCCTCCCTCCAACCCCTCTGATGGGATCCCACCCCCACCCCTTCCTGCCCAGCCCAGCCCTGGGTGTTACCGTGAACACAAGGGATGGCAAAGGAGTGAGGAGCCTGGGGTGGATCATGGACAGGATTGAAGGCAGGTGTCCCTCTCGGGATCCCACGAAGAACAGCCTGGAGGGGGACACAGAGCAGTTACACCCCTGCAACCCAGCTGGGGATTGTCTGCAGCACAAACAGGGATAGCCCGAGCTCAGCCCAGACCGAGGCAGCAGGACTGAAATGCCAATCCCTGACTTAGAAGGGAGGCTGGAGATGGACAAAGAACGCAGGAAAGATGTATTTATCTCCATTCCAGAGACAGCCATTAAGTGAGTGTCCTAAGACAACCCAGGAGATGTGTCAGAGCCAGAACCATCTCAGTCCCCGTCCTGACCCGTCCTTTCTCCTCTTCCTGGAGGGACTCTCAGCCCTGAAGTTTCACAACTTTCTGCTTTTCATTAAAGCCACTTTCCCATCATCACCGAGCATGTGTCTGTTTCTGGTTTATTGACTTCAACAGCACTTTGCCTGAGGAACAGAAGATTAGGACCACTGGAAGGTTTCCTTTAATCTGGATATGGTTTTAAAGGCTGACTTTTTTTTCCCCCTGCATTCCCCACATGGCCTCCAGACCCTTCAGACTTTGTGTCTGCCCACAGCCACTCTCTGGGGGACGACTCCAAAAGAAGAGGAACTAAGCACAGCTTGTAAACAAACCCCACAGGATTGAGCAACAAACCTACCGGGAAGAAGTGAAGAGAGATCCATTGACCGACCCAAAACACGACAGGCCAACAAAGACAGGGATGATCCAGGACATGACACCCAGGTGGTAGTTCCCAAAATCCTAAATGGGGGGACAACAAGGGACATTTCACAACCCAGAACGTCCAAAAGAACTCACAGCTGCCTACAAAGGCTTCGTCTTTGCAGAAATCTGAGCAAAGCACAGGGCTCAGTGCTGAAGCTGTTACAAAGTTTTCCATGTTGCCATTTGCTGCCCCTCTTTCCTGAAAAATCATATTGTGGAACTGCTAAACCAAAGCAGCAGCCAGCCCTTCCCTCGGGGTCAGGACACAACATTTATCAGAACAGCCATCGGGAAGTTCAAGATCAAACGGAAACCGAGGAGCCTCAAACACGGAGCTGCTGCCAAGTGCTGAGTCAGGACCTGGGACACAGCCCTGGGGACATGGAGTGTCCTGGGGCTGTAGTGTTTTGTCACAGAGTGACCCTGGGCTGCTCCACTGTGGTTTTACTCCAGTTTATATTGATTTGCAGCCTTTGCTGTGATATTGATTTCCAGCCTTGCAAAGGCTCACGGCTGCAGCAATGGACACAACTACAGCAACATCCCTGCAAGTGTCCAAGGCCAGGTTGGATGGGGCTTGGAGCAATCTGGTTTAGTGGAAGGTGTCCCTGCCATGGGCAGTTAGAATATGATAATCTTTTAGGCCCCTTCCAGCTCAAACCTTTTATGATTCAGTGCAACACAGGCTGCAAACCCAAAAACTCAGCACCACATCACTGTGGGCTGGAGCAGGGGCTTGGTGCCAACCCACAGGATGGAGCACTGTCACCTGAGTGGCCCAGACCAGCTCATCCTGGGCTAGGAGATTCCCTTTGAAGCCTTGAACAATCCCGGTCATGCTGTTTGCGAGGTCTGCTCCTTCCTGAAGCAACCAAGATTTCTGACCGCCGTGGCATTTTAATTAATAGAAGTGTTATTTACCTCTCTTAATTAAAACAAGGAAGATACAGAAGAGACAACGATCTAGTTCAGTACTGACTGAATGACCTTTCCCCATAAATATTATGCTCTGGTAACTGATGAGAAGTCACAAGGCCAGCAGCCACCTTCCCTATTTGGGAACTAAGAGCAGCACTATCTGCTGCCCACCCTCGCTGTCTGCCATGAATCCCGCTCGGTATCACGCTGCTCTCCCCTGCTCCCATCACAGCTGCTCTTTGTCTCCTGTTTAAACATCAGGGTTTTTTTGTAAGCAGCCATGACCAGCCTGGAACAAAGCAAATGTGAGCAGAGATTGCAAGTGTGATTTAACCTGCCCTGGAAAACAGTCCCGTCGGAGCAGCCCCATCTTACCACGGCCACGGCCTCAGACATCAGCATCTCATTCGTGGACAGCGTGGTGAAATAGGCCAAGTTGGTCAGCACATAGACCAGAGTGACCACGGGCAGGGAGATGATGATGGCCAGGGGCAGGTTCCTAGGGAAAAACATACACTGTCATGGAGAAGTTCAGAGGAGGGAGCTGCTGATCCCAGGGATCGCCACCCTCCTGTGCTCGCTCAAGGTTTGTTTGAGCCCCTCTGCTCTTTGGCTTCTCAGAGTGTCAGGTCTCCCAGCCACGCTCTGCTCCCAGGGCAGAGGAGATGTCCATATGGGAACGAGCTGCCCAGGGAAATGGTGGAATCCCTGCAGGTGTTCAAGAAACACATGGATGTGGCACTTGAGGACATGGTTTAGCGGTGCTGCACTGACAGCTGGACTTGGTGGTCTTAAAGGACTTTTCCAACCTTAACAACTCCATGATGCTCTGAACAGCCTGATGGAGAGTGAAGGGCGATGGCAAAAGGGACTTTTTTCCATGGAGAGGCTCTGGCTGACTGAGCAGCAATCCAAGATCACTGCAATGGCAATTAATTAAAAACACCCAGTGGCATTAGCATGTGCATTCTCTCCTGGGCAAAGGAGATTCACTTGTGCTGCTGGGTTTCTTGGGAGAGATGGGGAGCTCAGGGACCCAGCAGGCAGTTTTTAGCCTCTAATTCTGTGCAGATGGATGGGCTGAGGAAACTCGAGGAAAATGAGTCCAGACACAGCCTGAGTGGGTCTGTAAACAGGCTGTGTCGGTACAAATTTGCCTTTCCAAGCAGTTTAACTTCATTTGCGAATGGAAACTGAAAAAGAAAACCCTGCTTGGTGCCACGTCTAATTGGTCCAGTGGAGCTCAAAGCCACAGGAGGAGAGTCAAATCCCATGACTGCATTCAGCAGACATGCAAAGAATTGCAAAATACAACCCCCCTTTTTCGAACTGTTTCTGAAGGAAAGGGAGTATCGAATCCTTCCCAGCACAAACGAACCACCCCCAGGGTCAGCCAGAACGGGTTCTTTGCACAAGTGACCCTGAGACTCGGATCCCAGTGGCTCACAGGGACCATCCCATGAGCAAAAGGGATTTCTCAGCATTGTCCTGCTTTGTTGTGGCCTGTCCTGAGCTCGCCAGGCCCCCGAGTAACCCCGAAAGGCACGAGCGGCGCAGGAAGCAGCTGTTGCTCAACAGGATGGGAAGAGCACGGGACAAACACATGGACAGCAGCACAAACCCTCTGCTGGGAGTTTATACAAGGCACTAATAAAGCCCTGAGTGCTTCTCCCTCGCCCATAACTCACTGAGGTGTCACGCCAAGGAAGCGGGGCTTTCCAGCACCGCTGATATTAGTGGGACAGGAAAGCAGCGTAAACAACAGCCCTTCTCCTACAGAGATTATTATTCCGCTTCCCTGATTCCAGGGAGGAAAAAAGGCCATTAATTTATCTTGTTTTTTATTTCCCCAGATGAAGACCTTGGCTTCTGGGCTGATCAGCAACCCCTGTTACACGCACGAGGAAGAGGCTTCCCCAAAATACAGGTCCTGCTCCCAGGGATGCCATCCCAAGACACACACCCACCTGTAGGGATTTATCATCTCTTCTGTCACAAAATTCAAGTAATTCCTGGAATTTAAAAAGAACAGGGGTTCATTCTGGTTAGTCCATGGAACATATAAAGCCCTGCAGTTTAACTCATCTGCACAGGGATTTCAGGAGGGGCACAGAGATGCCTGTGGGAACACTTGGGATGGCTGGTGCCTAATTCCAAGACCTACAGGACCAAACCTGCAAGGAGCAAGCCAGGGAGACCTTAGAGCCTCTTCCAGTGCCTAAAGGGGCTCCAAGAGAACTGGACAGGGACTTTGGACAAGGGCCTGGAGGGACAGGACAAGGGGGAATGGCTTCCCACTGCCAGAGGGCAGGGTTAGATGGGATACTGAGAAGGAATCCTTTCCTGTGAGGGTGGTGAGGCCCTGGCACAGGTTGCCCAGAGAAGCTGTGGCTGCCCCATCCCTGGAAGTGTCCAAGGCCGGGTTGGATGGGGCTTGGAGCAACTTGGCCTAGTGCAAGGTGTCGCTGCCCATGGCAGGGGGATGGAACAAGATGATCTTTAAGGTCCTTCCAACCCAAACCATTCCATGATTCCATGATAAGGAGGCTGCAACCAGCCTGTTTCCACAACAGATTGAGCAGCTCCTCGTGCTTGCAGGTGCTCAAAGGAGCCCTCCAGGAGCTTCAGTTTGGTGTTGGGATTCAGTTCCCAAAAAAAAGAGAGAGAGGGAGCATCTTACCATCCTCCATAGGCAAAGAGGCCACTGTACAAAGCCAACACGATGTTCCCAACATCGACATTCGTGCCCTCGAAGGAGTGCTCAGGAGTCAGGTTTGACACATCACCTGCAGGACACAGGAGAGGATCAGTGATGGGCTGTGAACCCTTAGGGCCTCTGTGGGGATTGAAACAGAGAAACCTGGAGGGAAAAGCTGCTCTTAGGATTAATTATCTTAATTTCAGGTTATGCTGAGAGCACGTGCACATCTTCCTGCTGGGCTGATTCCTCCAGTCTTACAGTGCTTAATTCATCTGCATTGATAACAAGCCCCAGAATTATGTGTCTCAAGCAACTGGCCACGAGTGACTCCTCCAGACTTTCTCACACTGCAACGTGCCATCTCCAAGGTGATCTCCCGACACCTTCTCCCCTGTGAAGAAAACGTTCTGGGGACCTTCCTGCTGGAAGATGCTTTGCAAACACAGATATTGTCACGTTGTCCTCTCAACTGAAGGCTGCTGGCGTTCGATAAAGCCCCAGGATTTCCTCCACTTCCACCAGCCACCCAATAAAGCAGAAACCCAGGATTTCCTCCGGTCCCACCAGCCACCTGATAAAGCAGAGGGCTGTGGCAATCCCTTTGATTGGGGGAAGTCAGGTTCTTTGGGGCTTGGATATCAGAAGTCACCTTCTTTAGGGCCCCACGATGAAAAGTTCCTGTTATGGATCTGCCTTTGAAAGGAACGGCCAGAAATAGGCACCTCGATTGTCCCTCCGCTCCCAACTGCCCCAGAGCAGCCCAGGCTTTATTTATTTTGCTTTCAAATGCTCTGCAGTTGTTTTGTTCCCTGCCTTTTGATGTGGGGCCTGGGTGTAGAGCTGGGACGGTAAAGCCACATTCCCATTCCCAGACCTGCCACTCCCCTCGGTACGTGGTGGGGTCCAGGGGCACCTTTGCATCCAGGAGCCCTGTGGAAGCCCATGTGATTCCTCTTAGGGCACAGATCTTTACTAATCACCCCAGCAACTGCATCACATGGCTGTCAGCAGGGCCTGGAGCTTAACCCTTCATGTCTCAGCACAAGGAAACCCAGGATGTGCTGCTGGGAAAAGCAAGGGGATGCTCAAACACCGGGCACTTTCCCTCTGGATGGCCTCTCTTCGGATATTTCCCTCCCCTACGCCACCAAAAGCCACTGCTGCAGGTTCTGGGTGACAAACCTGGATGCACAGACCCTGTAACACCTCCCACTCATCTTTCCAGTGCTGGGAAAGAGGGATTTTTCCTGACAGCACCATCAGTCTGAGGTGCATCTGTCACTCATGGGACTGCTCCAAACCTGTGCCAGAGACACAGAGCTGCCCTGTGTGAGTGGGAGAGCTCCCTCTTCTCTTTCCTTCTCTCTCCCTGACCCTCCAGTTCCATCCCAGCCTTTCCACCCTGGGGATTGCTCCCTTTCCCTCCCTTCTCCCTCCTGCTGAATCCTAACCAGGCAAACAGATATTCCCTATCACGGTGTGCAAAATGCTCTCTGCTAACCCAGCTGCCCAGGAAACCAGCACCCTCTGCCTTTTCCCTGGCAGAAGCTATGCCATTTGCAAGGGGATGCTGTGGGTATGAGCTGTAGGAGAGCCAGGGCCATAGGAGCAGCTCATCCACCATCTGGGAATCCATCAGGAGTGGGAAACCCAGTGCAGGGATGTCCCGCAGGTGTGCAAGGCTCTGCTTGCCCAGATCCCAGTTCCAATTCCTGTTCTTCACTGGAGTCACTTTGTCCCTCTCTCCCAGCATCTCCTTGCAGCAGGAAAGTCTGTTCTGCATCTACCTTGGGATGTGCTGGATGTGTTTAATGCCCCTGGAGCCAGTGAACCTCCAGACCAAAGGCACCAATCCTTTTTAAAACACATCCAAGTGTAACAGCAAAGCCAGGAAATGCAGAGACTGATCTAATGCTGAGTTTAACCTTAATTCTTGGCTTATGGGTTCAGCCATAGAATCCTAATTTAGCACAAATAAATAAAGGGCTGAGCAGGAGGGGGGTGCAGGGTATCACAATCTGCTCAATCCCTTGGGCTCAGCTTTCCCGAGCTCATTTGCTGCCCTTCCTGAATAATTACCAGTCTAGTTCTTTCCAGGTCTTTTGTTATGGGAATAAGATACACTTTTTGTTAACAGTGCCTGTAATTAGCTACTGGAACAGCACATGGATGGACTAGGAGAGCAGGAGGCTCTCCTGACATTTCTAACACCCCTAAGGATGTCTCTTCTCAAAGGTTCTCAGGCTCTGCACCAGGATCAATGGATCATCACCTTCACCACACCAGGAGGACGCTCCAGTCCATGAGCAGCGGGGCACAAGAAACACCACAAGGATCACTCCATTTCTTGCCCACAGTTGGTCACCAGCCCCCCCTGAAACCTCCTTTCTGTTTGTCACAGAACCCTCTGAGGTTCCTTTTCCTGAGGCAGCGGCAGGTTTCACTTGGTGCCTCCCCAACCCTCACACAAACCCCGGTCCTGGTGCTGCCAAGAAAGGGCTGAGCTGCTGCCCTGGCCCAGCTGGATGGGAGGGGAGGAGAGGGGAGCATTGGTGGTCCCTACCCAAAACCACATTCCTGGACTGAGGATGTGCCACCCACTTGGCAACCACAGGCATCCTCAGCCTCTGGGTAAGGGAGGGTCCAAGGCCACACCCCATCCCTGGAAGTGTCCAAGGCCAGGATGGATGGGGCTCGGAGCAGCCTGGGATAGTGGAAGGTGCCCTTGCCCACGGCAGGGGGTGAAATGGGATGAGCTTTAAGGTCCCTCCCCACCTAAACCCATCTGGGCTTTCCATGACTCCAGCAAAGGCAGCAGGACCGTCTGGAGCAGAGCTGAAGCACAGGAATGAAATCAAAGGCTGTAATTTCATTCCCTGAGGGTGGGTGAGGGTGATGGAGGGAGGGAAGGATGGGTGGGGCATAACTAATTACTCACACACCTCTCCTTGCACCCAACCCATCCCTTTGAGACATCAGAATGTTGCTGCGGGCAAAGGAGGAGCAAGTCAGCGCAGGGGCAGCCAGGAGAGGGGACAAGGAAGGAGGCAAGGAAAGAAGAAAGGGGCTTTTTGATCCTCCTCAGCATGTGAGGAGCCAACACCTCGATGCCCTCTCCCCACCTCACCCACAGAGAGTTGTAGCTCCCCAAAAACTCGCAGAGAGTTACTAAATTTCACATTTCTGTGCCCTCACGGTAAAATGGATTCAGCAACGTGTCAGGACACGACTGAACAAACGGAGGAATCAAGATCTATCTCGAGTTGTGCCAGGGGAGCTTTAGGTTGTGTATTAGGAAATAATTCTTCACCAAAAGGGTTGTCCAGCCCTGGCACAGCTGCCCATTCCCATCTCTGAAGGGATTTAAAAGCTCTGTGCATGTGGCACTTGGGGACAGGGGTTAGCGGTGGCCTTGGCAGTGCTGGGGAATGGTTCATCTCCATGGTCTTAAAGGTCTTTTCTGATATAAATGATTCTGTGATTCATCCTGCTCCAAAGGGCCAGGCTTTTATCCTCCAGGGCCCTCTTTTGCTTTTTCCATGTTTTATCACCTCCTGGTTGCAGGAGAGGAGCCTGGGCTGCTTAACAAACACCAGTCCATGGAGTCCAACCCCTGCAATGAGCAGCGACATCTTCAACCAGATCAGGGGGCTCAAAGCCCCATCCAACCTGACCGTGAGTGTTTTCAGGGATGGGGCATCCACCACCTCTCTGGGCAAGCTATACCAGTGTCTCTCCACCCTCATCATAAGAAAATTCTTCCTTTTATATAATCTAAACCTGTTCTCTTGCAGTTTAAAACCAATGCCCCTCATCCTATTGCAACAGGCACTGCCAAAAGAATCATTAAGGTTGGAAAAGACCTCCAAGATCATCGAGTCCAACCTTTGATCAAACACCACCTTGTCAACTAGACAAGGGTGTATTGGAGGGAGGAGGGACAAGTGACTGTGCTGGACCATGTATTAATGGCCCACAAAACCTCCCAGACACAGACACTCAGCATCCCTCAAGCCTCGACGTGCAATTCCAGCCTCCGGGCTTTTGGAGGCTTCATCTGCAGACTTTGGATCAAACCAAGGGTTACAAATCTGCAGGTGACGCTGCCAAGCACGGCCTCAACTCCCCCAGGGGAGCTCGAGGCCTGTAAGAGAGCACATCCCTGGCACCCCCAGCTCCCCATACCCCCCATCCCATGCTGCCGCCGCCACCGCTCTCCAGGCAATTCCCTGCCCGTGCCCGGCACCCTGGAGAGCTGGAACCTGGTTTGAACTGGCTGTTCAATCGCACTCTGCTCTACAATTAACCAAATTAAGGTAACAAGCTCTGACATAAACCCCATTTGCTGATCCTGCCAGCTGCCAAGACTGCAGTAATTGCGCCGGGTCAGCCGGGGCCTTGCTGTGCGAGGGACTGCTTTGGGTCGAGGAGCTGCATGTTCAGACCTTTTCTTTAAAAATGTTCATTTGCTCCCCAGTCATGTCTGTTCCGGTTTTAATGGCACAGCAATCTACTCTTGCAGAAAGCATTTCATGATAATTAAGGATTTTTAACTTGCCCAAACAGCGAGGAGAGGGAACACGGCCACGGAGAGAGCTCAGCACGAGGAGGGGGGAGAAACCCAGCCAGGGAGAAACGTGGTGTATGTACCAAAATCCCCAGAGGAGATGATCCACTCAGCTGCTGAGCCATTTCCTGAGAAAAGCAGCGAGAATTCAGTGGACTGAGTCAGAAAAACAAGAGAGAGGCAGGGGCCAGGGTTAGGAGCATCCTCGGAGCTCCCAGGAAGCACAGCTCGGTGCCCACAGGAGCTGTTTGCTCCCCTCTGCAGCCAGCTCAGCATCAGGCAGCTCTCAACAGCAGCCTTTAAATTGGGGTCCTGGAGCAGAGGTGTTTATGGCCTGGAAGACACAGCCATGACCTTGCAGAGCAGGGAGGGCATCCAAGGAGAAGTCAGAGCTCCTGGGTTACATCCCGGTCCTCACCAATGGCTGTGGACAGGCCATGACCCTTCCCCCCATTTCAGCTACTTCCTTCTGTTTTGTGCAAAAGTGCCTCTCTCCCAGGCCAGACAACGTGCTGACA